AAAAAACTATTTTTGCAATGCATGAAATCAACATCTAGCAAATACCAATTTTGACCCGAATTTGCTAATATAAAGTAAAAATTCACAATATTAACATTGATGACCTGAGGTTAACGTATTATTAATAAATCAGTGATGATGACCTGAGGTTAGCATATTAATAATATTAATAAATCAGTGATGATGATCAGTATATTAATAAATCAATGATGATGACCTGAGTTTATTGTATTAATGATATTAATAAATCAGCGATGATAACCTGAGGTTAACGTATTATTAAAATGAATAAATCAGTGATGATGACCTGAGGTTAACGTATTAACAATATTAATAAATCAGTGATGATGACCTGAGGTTAACATATTAATAATATTAATAAATCGACGAGCTGAGGTTAACGTATTAATAATATTAATAAATCAGAGATTAAGACCTGTGGTTAACGTAGTAATAATATTAATAAATCAGTGATAGTGACCTGAGGTTAACATATGAATAATATTAATAAATCCGTGATGATGACCTGAGGTTAACAAATTAAAATGAATAAATCAGTGATGATGACCTGAGGTTAACACATTAATAATATTAATAAATCAGTGATGATGACCTGAGGTTAACATGTTAATTATATTAATAAATCAGTGATGACCTGAGGTTAACATGTTAATTATATTAATAAATCAGTGATGACCTGAGGTTAACATGTTAATAATATGAATAAATCAGTGATGACCTGAGGTCAACATGTTAATAATATTAATAAATCAGTGATGATGACCTGTGGTTAACATATTAATAATATTAATAAATCAGTGATGATGACCTGAGGTTAACATATTAATAATATTAATAAATCAATGATGACCTAAGGTTAACCAGGGCTCTACAGTAAGGACTTCCCGATGGCCCGGGGCCAGTGTGAGAGATGCTCGGGACAGTAGACAGAATTGTTACTGGCCCGATCGGGGCAGTGCTGCCTTGTCACTAAATTTTAATAGACGGCAACATGACCGCGACATTAAATTATGAGGCTAAAGGAAATGTCTGTTTCTAACTTTGTGGAAACATTTAAATGGGTACAGCATGACGAAAAAAATGTGATGTTTTGCTTAGTTTGCCGTCACTTTTAAGTCAGCCACCTTTTGTTTTGCAATAAAATACGTGCACGTTTTCCATACTGCTATATTTTACTGCTAAATATTTTTCAAATATTTAAATTCTACAACTACTGACATTAATTTCATTCATTCATTTTCTTTTCGGTTTTGTCCCTTTATTAATCTGGGGTCGCCACAGTGGAATGAACCGCCTGACATTATTTCGTGAAACATTATTTAATATATGTGGCTAACTTTTTTATTTCTTTTATTGGGCCAGTGAAAATTTTGGCAGGGCAAGTAAAAATCTGAACCACTGGTCCAATCGGGCCAGTAGAAAAAATCCTTAGCGTTGAACCCTGTTAACATATTAATATTAATTAATCAATCAGTGATGATGACCTGAGGTTAATGTATTAATAATATTAATAAGTCAGTGATGATGACCTGGTGTTAACATATTAATAATATTAATAAATCGACGACCTGAGGTTAACGTATTAATAAATCAGTGATGATGACCTGAGGTTAACATATTAATAATATTAATAAATCCTTGATGATGACCTGAGGTTAACAAATTATAATTAATAAATCAGTGATGATGACCTGAGGTTAACACATTAATAATATTAATAAATCAGTGGTGATGACCTGAGGTTAACATATTAATAATATGAATAAATCAGTGATGACCTCAGGTTAACATGTTAACTATATTAATAAATCAGTGATGATCTGAGGTCAACATATTAATAATATAAATAAATCAATGCTGATGACCTGTGGTTAACATAATAATAATATTAATAAATCAGCGATGATGACCTGAGGTTAACATAATAATAATATGAATAAATCAATGATGACCTGAGGTTAACATATTAATATTTATTAATCAGTCAGTGATGATGACCTGAGGTTAATGTATTAATAATATTAATAAATCAGTGATGATGACCTGAGGTTAAATAATAATAATATTAATAAATCAGTGATGATGACCTGAGATTAACGCATTAATAATATAAATAAATCAGTGATGATGACCTTTGGTTAATGTATTAATAATATTAATAAATCAGTGATGATGACCTGAGGTTAACATATTATTAATATTAATAAATCAGTGATGATGACCTGAGATTAACGCATTATTAATATAAATAAATCAGTGATGATGACTTGTGGTTAACGTATTAATAATATTAATAAATCAGTGATGATGACCTGAGGTTAACATATTAATAATATTAATAAATCAGTGATGATGACCTGAGGTTAACATATTAATAATATTAATAAATCAATGATGACCTGAGGTTAACATATTAATATTAATTAATCAATCAGTGATGATGACCTGAGGTTAATGTATTAATAATATTAATAAGTCAGTGATGATGACCTGGGGTTAACATATTAATAATATTAATAAATCGACGACCTGAGGTTAACGTATAAATAAATCAGTGATGATGACCTGAGGTTAACATATTAATAATATTAATAAATCAGTGATGATGACCTGAGATTAACACATTAATAATATAAATAAATCAGTGATGATGACCTGTGGTTAATGTATTAATAATATTAATAAATCAGTGATGATGACCTGAGGTTAACATATTATTAATATTAATAAATCAGTGATGATGACCTGAGATTAACGCATTATTATTATAAATAAATCAGTGATGATGACCTGTGGTTAACGTATTAATAATATTAATAAATCAGTGATGATGACCTGAGGTTAACATATTAATAATATTAATAAATCAGTGATGATGACCTGAGGTTAACATATTAATAAATCAATGATGACCTGAGGTTAACATATTAATATTAATTAATCAATCAGTGATGATGACCTGAGGTTAATGTATTAATAATATTAATAAGTCAGTGATGATGACCTGGGGTTAACATATTAATAATATTAATAAATCAGTGATGATGACCTGAGGTTAACGTATTAATAATATTAATAAATCAGTGATGATGACCTGAGGTTAACATATTAATAAATCAGTGATGATGACCTGAGGTTAACATATTAATGATATTAATAAATCAGCGATGATAACCTGGGGTTAACAAATTACTAATAATAATACATCAGTGATGATGACCTGAAGTTAACATATTAATAATATAAACAAATCAGTGATGATGACCTAAGGTTAACATCTTAATATTAATAAATCAATGATGACCTGAGGTTAACATATTAATAATATAAATAAATAAGTGATGATGACCTGAGGTTAACATTTTAATATTAATTATTCAATCAGTGATGATGACCTGTAACGTATTAGTAATATTAATAAATCAGTGATGATGATGTATTAATAATATTAATAAATCAGTGATGATGACCTGTGGTTAAAGTATTAATAATAATAATAATAAATCAGTGATGATGACCTGAGGTTAACGTATTATTAATATTAATAAATCAGTGATGATGACATGAGATTAACGCATTAATATTAATAAATCAGTGATGATGACCTGTGGTTAACGTACTAATAATATTAATAAATCAGTGATGATGACCTGAGGTTAACATATTAATAATATTAATAAATCAGTGATTATGACCTGAGGTTAACATATTAATAATATTAACAAATCAGTGATGATGACCTGAAGTTAACATATTATTATTAATAAATCAGTGATGATGACCTGAGGTTAACGTATTATTAATATTAATAAATCAGTGATGATGACATGAGATTAACGCATTAATAATATTAATAAATCAGTGATGATGACCTGAGGTTAACATATTAATAAATCAGTGATTATGACCTGAGGTTAACATATTAATAATATTAATAAATCAGTGATGATGACCTGAAGTTAACATATTATTATTAATAAATCGGTGATGATGACCTGAGGTTAACGTATTATTAATATTAATAAATCAGTGAGGATGACATGAGATTAACGCATTAATAATATTAATAAATCAGTGATGATGACCTGAGATTAACGTATTAATAATATTAATAAATCAGTGATGATGGCCTGAGATTAACACATATATATATATATATATATATATATATATATATATATATATATAAATAAGCGATCATGACCTGAGGTCAACATAATTAACAGAATAATTAAATTATATCACTAACGTTAGTTGAATTTTGCAGCGATTCACAGTAGATAAGTTAACACCTCAAATAACGTTACTGTACTAACGTTACTGTCTTGTGTTTAAACTAGTGCTGTTTTGGTCCACATTTCTGGCGTGTCTTTAAATGAAATTGACATAATACATGCTAAAAACCGAATTATTAGAAAAAAATGGCGCTAAGTTAGCAAGAGGGCAAGTTTAGTCGCGTTTAATAACGTTTGCTAGATTTAAATATTCAAAAAAATACTGTTAGCTTGTTTTAATTAATACCAGAAAGTAAGTCACAGTAACGGTAGAGCAGCACGCTAATCTAACGTTAGGTAGGGACGGCTAATTAGGCTAACTTAATGCAAACAAAAGTTAAACGTTGCTCGTTCACTTCGCTGGAAAAAAGGGACAAATCCATAAACACATATGAATTTTACAATCAATACTGCTTCTGTAAACTTACAGAAGAAAACCGGTGATCTCACCTCTTCACTTGTCCTCTTCACCTGTCCTCTTCACTGGTGAAAATGGCAGTTGCCTGTGTGGGTGGGTGTGTTTTCTTATTTGAATTTGCGTTTTTTGGCGGACTCTGCAGGAGGCTCATAATGATGATGCAATAACATTTGATTGGCTGATAGAGATGTTGTCCCTGGGTGATCATAAAATATGTTGGTCTCAGGACAACTAGCACTTGGCAAAATCAGGACGAGCAGAATTTGAGAGTGTCTTGTCTGCTGCAGGTATGGCCCACGCATTGATTGTGGGTGTGAGTATCAGATCTGTGTGGAGTTGCTTGATCAGAAGAAGAAACCCATCAGTACCTTTGAACCCGAACCAGTTATCTTTCCACAGTGGAGTGACTGGCAGTGGTGTGAAGTGAGCAGACGGATAGAAAAAATCATTAAGAGGCCAGTTTGATGAACTGCATCATTGTGACTATATATTTTTTTCTATTTCAGATGATTCATGTCTTCAAGGATTATGGACCTGGTGTTCGGTTTATCCGTTTCACTCACGGAGGGAAGGATACTCAGTTCTGGGCAGGTCATTATGGAATAAGAGTAACTAACAGTAGTGTGGAGATCTGCCCAGCTGCAGAGAGAGAGTCATTGTCTGTTTGAGTATTTCCTCTGTTATAAGAAACACTATGAAATAATGGACCTGCTTAAATTATTATTTTTATTATTATTATTTAATATTATTGACCATTACACTGTTATAAAGTAATCTAAGCATGCAATGTAAACAATCATTTTAAAAAAGTCTTAATCTGTTATACATCTGGCAGCATTGCACTATGCTTCAGTTTACGCCCTCTCTGTGCCTCCGCAAAAACATTTAAACAGACATGGGAAGATGTGAGATAGTGGCCAGGTGAAGCAGAAAAGGAAAGAGCAGGTAACAAGAAAGCATCTATATCTCTGTTTACTCTAATGTATAACGTTAATCGTATGTTCTTATGAAAAATAAAAAGAGTTGTTAAAAGAGCCGTAATGTGCACACTTTATTCCCATTATTACAACCTGTGTGTGTGTGTGTGTTTATGTGTGTGTGAGTGTGTGTGTGTGTTTGTGTGTTTCACCTTTTATTCATTCATTCCTTCATCAATTGTGTATTCCTGTTAAAAATAAAGGTGTTAAAGAAAGGGAATTTCTGGAACAGAGCAGCTCTGTAACATTTACTCGAGTTAATTAAAATGTTCCTACATAGTGGCCACATATTGTCATTTTGTTTCATGTTTTTGACAAAAATATGGCAGACAGACCCCAAGTTTTGCTCAAGCACTGGTTATGTAGCTTCTTAGTTTCTTTTTGTAAATAACACAATGTTTTGCTTAATAAGATTTCTGAATCTGATAAATCTGATTGCTGCTATATACGGTATATATACAATCACCGGCCACTTTATTAGGTACACCTGTTTAACTGCTCATTAATGCAAATTTCTATTCAGCCAATCACACGGCAGCAACTCAATGCACTTAGGCATGTAGACATGGTCAAGACGATCTATTGCAGTTTAAACCGAGCATCAGAATGGGGAAGAACGGTGATTTAAGTGACTTTGAATGTGGTTTATATTTACATATGAAAACTGCTGTAATTTCTACAGTGTTCACCTGATTTGGATGTAAATAGCCTCAAATTAAAGCCGACAGTCTGTAGTTAAAGCATATCTTGTTCGTTCAATTTAAAATCCATTGTGTTGGTGTATAGAGCCAAAAATATTAGAATTGTGTCGATATTAGAATTGTGTCTAACTCTGTTTAAAAATATCATTCTTATCTCTTATTGATTTATTTGTTCATCTTTGAGGCTGATCTTTCAGGCTCCTCATCAATAGGGTGCAAAATCTCCAATGCTGCCCACCACCGTCCTGCGAATGTAGGTAGGCGGTGGACCAGGCCGAGGTTGCCGGAGAGGAGGGTTCTGGAGATTAACAATGTCGTCCTGCTGAAGAACAGACATAATCATGAAAATCTCTTTCTGTCAGTTTCAGATACAACACGTCTAACCCTTGTGTGCTGTTGAGGAAGTTTTCATCCACTCTGGGGGGATTTTGAGTCTTAATTTGACCACAACTTTCTTTTGGGGAACAATTCTGGAAAAGCACATTCAGTGTAGACGAATACGTAATTTTAAGACTGACAAACCTGTTCTCTCATTCTTCTGAGAGGGCGAGCAGCCTGAAGACCACGCAGAACCCCACGGACTCTTCCATTTATTGCTAAATCTCTCTGCTGAGGTCTGTCAGGTTCATTCTGTTGCTGCTCCTCAGGTTGTGGTTCAGGGATTCGATTTTGTCCCCTACTGGCTACAACCTCCACATCCTGCTTGTTCTGATGAGGCATCTGATTTACAAATGCTTCATCCTGCTGGAGACATAGACAAAATCATGTAACTCAACAGATTTACAGACAACCTGAAGATCTGTTTACTCAAATGGCTGGAATCTACCAAAACTTTATACGTGAGTGTATTTATGCATGCACACTATGATTTGTTGTTTTACTTCATATTACTTCATATAAAAGCCAGACACTTTTTTTTGCATAGGCCTTTCTAATGGGATAATAGTGCAAACTAATAATTAACTGTAAAAATGACAAATATTTCCTTTTCTCAACCAGGAAAACCACAAACAATTAAGAATACATGATTATTGGGCGTCAAGGCTTTACAATCAAAAAGTGTCATTTAAATGGAAGTCAATGGGGCAAAAACAGCCACTAACATAATGAAAGGGTAGTAACAATACACAAGGGTAAAGAGAACATTTGAGCATATTTATAAGCAACAGCATTGAGTTAAAAAGTAAGATATGACCATTTTAATCTTAATCTAAAAATAATGCAGATATAACATATTTTTTTACATCACTTACTTTTAAAAAAAATAGTAGAAACTTACTTTAAAAGGGTAGACAAATTCTTAATTCTGCATGGGTAAAACAGAAAGCAGAAACTAACCTGTTCTCTCATTCTTCTGAGAGGACGAGCAGATTGAAGACCACGCAGAACCCCTCGAACTCTTCCATTTATTACTAAATCTCTCTGCTGAGGTCTCTCAGGTTCATTCTGTTGCTGCTCCTCAGGCTGTGGTTCAGGGATCTGATTTTGTCCCCTACTGGCTACAACCTCCACATGCTGCTGGTTCTGAAGAGGCATCTGATTCACAAATGCTTTATCCTGCAGACAAAGACAAAATCACATTACTCATCAGATTTACAGACAATCTGAAGATCTGTCAACTCAAACTTCTATATGTGGAATCTATGATTTAACACTGAATCTACCAAAACTCTGTAAGTATTAATGCACGCACACTATGAGTTGATTTACTCAATAGAACTCCACATAAAAATCAGACACTTTTTTTTCTTTCTGCTGACTAATGATCAACAGTAAAACTATTTCCGGTAACACTTTACAATAAGGTTCATTAGTTAATGCATTAACTAACATGAACTAATCATGAACAACACATGTACAGCATTTATTAATCATAATTGAACATTTACTAATGCATTATTAACATCCAAGTCCATGCTTGTTAACATTAGTTAATGCACCATGAGTTAACATGATCTAACAATGAACTACTGTATTTAAATGAACTAATGTTAACTAACATGAACAAATACAGTGGTAAATGCATTGTTCATTGTTTGTTCATGTTAGTAAATGCATTAATTAACATTAAATAATGAACCTTATTGTAAAGTGTGACCCTATTTCCTCCTAACTGAGAAAGCCCCCAAACAATCAAGAATGCATGATTATATGATTTCAAGCCAAGTGTCGTTATAATGACGTCAATGGAGCAAAATACAGCCTCTAACATAATTAAAGAGTAGTAACTATACACAAGGGTTAAAGAGAACATTTGAGCATATTTACAAGCATTAGTGTTGGGTAAAAAATCATATATGACCATTTTAATCTTAATCTAAAAACAATGCAAATACAACAGATATTTTACATCACTTACTTTAAAACGTAACTAAGTAACACATTTATTTTTCCAGCACTGATGAGCAGATGGATGCTTGATTTTTGGGGAACAATCCTGGAAAAGCACATTCAGTGTAGACTCGTTTTTAATTCTAAGACTGAGTAAAGACTGACTAACCTGTTCTCTCATTCTTCTGAGAGGGCGAGCAGACTGAAGACCACGCAGAACCCCACGGACTCTTCCATTTATTGCTAAATCTCTCTGCTGAGGTCTCTCAGGTTCATTCTGTTGCTGCTCCTCAGGCTGTGGTTCAGGGATCTGATTTGGTCCCCTACTGGTTACAACCTCCACATGCTGCTGGTTCTGATGAGGCATCTGATTCACAAATGCTTCATCCTGCTGGAGACAAAGACAAAATCATGTTACTCATCAGATTTACAGACAATCTGAAGATCTGTCTACTCAAACTTACATTTGTGGAATCTTTGATTTAACACTGAATCTATTAAAATTCTATTAGTAAGCGAGTGTATTTACACACACACACACACACACACACACACGCACACACGCAAGCACTATTGGTTGTTAAACTCAAAAGAACTCCATGTAAAAGCCAGATGCTTTTTTGCACAGGCCTTTCTAAAGGTTTAATAGTGCAAACTAATGATCAACAGTAAAAATGACAAATGTTTCCTCTTCTCAACCAGGAAAACCACCGACAATCAAGAATACATGATTATTTGGTGTCAAGGCTTTACAATCAAAAAGTGTCATTATAATGGAGGTCAATGGGGCAAAATCAGCCACTAACATCATGAAAGGGTAGTAACAATACACAAGAGTTAAAGAGAGCATTTGAGCATATTTATAGGCAACAGAATTGGGTGTTGGGGCGCAAGGGGGACAAAGTAACGCAGGGTTAAAAGTAACAGAGTTTTAAGGTATTTGCTCAGGGTTGACCATGGCATGCCTCCAAGGTTTTCACCACAGTGTCGCAGACATCTTTCTGCCAACTATTGAAAAAGTTTGGCAAAATTTGGATTTGCAGCATAAAAGTATTTTTATTATAGTCAAATTTTTTTATTTAAAAAAAATCTGTGAAAGTGCATGTAAATCTTTAATTTGTTGTGATCATTGTTTTCTAGGCTCAAAGATTAAACCATTTTGAAAGATGTAAAAAACACAGTGACTGCTAGCCAGTTTTGAAGAAAACACGACACAGCGGGGTTCGTTGTAACAGTGTGATACAATTCAGGCACACACTGTTGGACACCAACTAATCTGACAATTTTTATTTTTATTTTGAGTGTAATGTTGAGAACTTCATTCATTAATTTTCTTGTCGGCTTAGTCCCTTTATTAATCCGGGATCGCCACAGCGGAATGAACCGCCAAATTAGCCAGCAAGTTTTTACGCAGCAGATGCCCTTCCAGCCGCAACCCATCTCTGGGAAACCTCCACACACACATTCACACACATACTCATACACTACGGACAATTTAGCCTACCCAATTCACCTTTATCGCATGTCTTTGGTGGGGGAATCCGGAGGAAACCCATGCGAATGCAGGGAGAACATGCAATGTTGAGAACTTTTTTAAATAAAATTATTTTAATAGAATTTTTATTTTTTTATTCATTTATTTATTTATTTTTTGATAGACTAAAATAATTTTCTTGCTAATACTACAAATAGATGCACTGTATATTAATGGATAATATTACAAATTCTATGAATTCTATGAATAAATGAACATACTGTACTATGTAGAATAAAAATATTTACAAATACTGAGAAAATATAGCTACTTTTAAAAGTAAACAAAATTTAAATTAATTGTGTTTAATATGGCTTTTTAAGCATGTGTTACCCCCCTGTCTGTTACAACTTGCCCCGCAGGTGGGGTAAATAGTAACACTTTTACACCTGGCACTTTTGGCAATACTGTACAGAAACCATCTGTCCGGCGATCACTTTCAGTGCTCATTTGTAGGAGAGGCTTGTGTTTTGTTGGTAAAAAACAAAAGG